GGGGGGGGTGGGGGGTGCGTTTATCAATCCAGGAATAAAACGGTACTTTTTAATGTGTTCACGATTAAAAAAAAATCCGTGATCAAGTCCTTCCGTCATACCTCGTTATTAAGAATGACATTGAAAAATACTTTCGAGTGGTTTCAATCATTACTTGTTCTCAATTTTCCAAATATCAAGCACCGCATGTAATTGTCTTGGCATTTTTAAAAAATATTCTACTCCTATAGCTTAAATCCCTTCAGCTACTCTGTCTCTTAGAAGTATAGTCTTTCATCTCAACTTAGCTCAACTGAATTTAATGATAGAAAAATTTCAGAACGAAGGTACGAATTTTTTCAATCAATATATTATTTTTCGAAAGGTAATACAGTATACTGTATATGGAACCAGCCATTTCGTATTTATGATCAAGCTAATACGTGATGGTGCGAAAATGTAGATAATCGATCCGCGCGAGGATTTCTTGATCATGGTTCTCAAGCTGTGAATAATATGACTCGGAATGAACCAAATACTGCGTTTTTTTTAATAAGGAAAATCTTCGGATATAGCTAAATTTTAAACTTACTGGAATGGTTAATTTTGTTTTTCCTTGGGGCGAAAGGGCCGCTGGCAACTTTTGGAAGGAAGTAAAAGCATGAAAAGGCGGAATAAAATTCCGCTCCTATACATATTCATATAAAAATACAATACCATCTTCTCGTATAGACTCTGGCTCCCGTGACCATCGTCAACTCCCAAATGATAGGTCCTGGGGGAAAAAACCGAATGCACATACGAAAGAGAGTCTCAACAGCAAAATTTTTTTCCATCGAAATTTCGGCAGTGTTTATTAGACCTTGTTTTCAGCCATTTCCGAGCAGAAAAATATTTTTGCGATGCCTCGAATGACTCGTCGCCTTGGCGGACAGAACCAAGAAAGAGAGAGAGAGAGAGAGAGACGGGTTTGTATAGCATTGGTGCAGGCAGGGACTTGGGGAGGAGGGGTTTTTTTTGTTGGGTTTACTTCCCTCGTCACTGCTCAGAGACTGAATAGAACCTTGGGAAGTGTGACGCAGAGCGCAGGCAGCAAATGCGCAGAAGGCCTGTCTAGGAGAGGGCCCACACGTAGGAATTTAAAATTAGGGCGCTTATTTTGATAAATAAAAAACCCATATGTATGATCCCACAGGGGAGATCAACTATCCAGAATGGGATTTTATAAATCCCGGTGGATCTTAATTATATTTTTGGAGAGCTTCTGAGTGAACGAAAGAAATAAATAACTCGTTTCCCGCGAAGAAAACTGTACAATTCGGAGTGTGGTGCATTTTTTAAATGTACGTTTTGCACGTGAGCGTGGCAAGCAAGTTAATACTGCATTTTTGATGTAATTTACACATAATCGGTAACTAATTGTTATGTATGCAGGGTACTGACTTTTTGGTGGAATTCAATTATTATTTGCGGAGTTCTTGGTGACAAATTAGACTGAAACGAGACTATCTTCACTTGATGCGCAATAATTATGGAGACAGAACTTGAAACAATAGTGTCGATTTTCTCTGCCATCGCTTTTCATGGAGATCGTCTTTTGAGCTTTGACTTTTGCAAATTTTAATTGACTTGTTTTTTATTATTAGTTTTAGTCCGCGGTATGTTGGAGAAACAAGCGGCGGATGGCTCGTGTGCAACCTTGTCGACGCAGATTTGTTGTTCGTCCAAATTAAATGCTTGTACCCCAGCTAGTGTGTTATTCATCGCCAACATCAGCGTTTTGCTGCTATGTGAAGTGGCATGTCCGAGTGTGCAAGGTGAGTGCAAATTCGTCCGAATTTTTTGCCTACGGGAGAAAAAAATTTTTGTCCTTGTACCTTTAAGAGAGCTTTTACCGTGATTTGCACCACAGCGTAAAATCGTCGTATAACTACGTACAAAATTTAAAACTCTTTCGAGCTGCTCGTAGTGAATGAAACTTTTTAATCGTTGATATGCATGACGTGTTCCGAATATGATGCGAAAACGTGAGAGAATGTGTGTGAATAGACGAAGCACCGACGAAAAACATGCCAACGAAAGGCTTGAGCTTTGACTCTTGCTTTCCAGACATTTTAAATAGCTTCTCATCCTCCGTGATCCGATTTCAGAAACGCACAAAAATATTTGGCTTCCTTTGAAACAAGACACGTGCAATGCACTCGACGAGTCAGTATTACCTGCTAAGCATTTGATGCGAATTAAAATTTATTGGGTGATACAGTCATGTTACAAATATAATATATTGATTTCATGTACAGTATTTAAAATCATCATATTCAAATATTGGGCGATGCTATTCATTTTACGTGGACATTGAGATTCTCCTGTTATTACTGCATCATAAAAATGCAGGTGAACGTATTTGATGCTTGTAAGAACATTTGGAAGGCCTTCGTTTGAAGCTAGTATAAGAAACTTCAAATACCCTTGCTGTTACAGCTGTCCATTCTCTTCTAAGGCAAAAAATTGCTAAAATTCATCCAGAAAATTTTGAATTCCCTGAAGTGCGCATTATACCTAGAACGTGGCAAGGAATTATCCCTTTTTGTACTACATTTTGAGATGATGAACGAGCTTGAGTGAATCGGCTGAGATTTCGGCTCTGCTTTCATCATCCTAGAGTAGACGACTGTAATTTCGATCCGGATACTCGTTCTGCGATAGAAATCGGTGAAAGAGAGCAATTCGAAAGGTAAAGAAGAGAGCCTCATTTCTCATCGTGTTTATTTTAGAAATATTATTGAATAAAAAAAACTTCTTATGCTGGACCCCTGAATACTGTCGGAGTTTTTTTTTTCGTTCGAAAAAACCAAAACGTCATCACCGTGTCGAAGTCGAGTTCGTTCCGCTAAAAGCCCGTGTGATCAAAACTTGTCAGAGCGAATTTTTTGAGACGTCGGTGCTGAGGAGCTTTCAGACATGGTGGAAGCTTTCTTTCGGGTTTTCCTTTGGTATTTCACAGAGATTTCTAAGCTTTTGTGAAACGGACGTTATATCACCGAGGAAAAGAGGAGATGATAGCTTACTCGGTGCCGGAGAATGAAATTAGTCTTTTTTTTCCTCTGTGATTTGAAAAGTTGAGATTTTTCCTCATCCGCCGGTGGAAAAACTTGAGGATTTCAAGCTCACGTTCCAGATAATTTTGGGTTAAAATTTTGGCTGTGTTCATGTACTCACTCACGTGAGAAGGAATGAGGTTTTTTCAAAGAGTATCTCGAATCAAAAGCAAGCCAGACCATAAAATCGAAAAAAAAGTTCTTCACCGAACGGTACCCAGAATTCAGAAAGAAGTTACCTTGCCCAGCTAAATGATTCATCTTGACAGTACGAAATAACATTTTGATTTAAAATTAATTTCAATTTCTCCAGGTCTTGCGTCTTGTGTTCCCTGTTAACGTTAGACATTCATTGTCGATACAGTCGAACTCAGCCATTTCATAATTATTCTGAATTACTGATTCAAGAAGGTTTAGGCTCATAGTTCATCAATATTTCCTCCTGAAATCGCAAATGTATGACAGATTACTGTAGAATTCAATGAGAATGAGCTCTGGTGACCTCAGTATATATATTTTTGACACATGGGCTAGAAACCTGTATAATTTTCTTTAAAAAAAAAAGTATAAAAATGAATTGTTTCTGCAAGTTTACGAAAATTGATGTTGGAAAGCCCGTATACGGAGTGGAGTTGTTTAGTTAGTACGTATAGATTATTTAGGGATGATTAAAAATTGGGGTTTTCTTCGATCCTGGATAAAGTTCCATTCTCACTAATTTTTCATACAGGGAATTGCCGGTGACGATATTTCAATAATATTTTTTGAATAAATTTTTAATTGTGGGGGTATACTTGGAAAAAAAATTTTGAGCTGTTTCCCTCGTCTTTTTTTGAACTGGATATGAAGGAACGACGATTGGGATCATCTTTGCTGACAAAATAAGCATAGGCAGGTGACATAAATATGCCAAAGTGTCACAACTTATGGACCATCCCTCATATATGACGGTATATAGTAGAAGGCTCAAGTGGGCAAACGTCGGAGTGAGCCTAAGAGGTTTTCGTGTGTGCCCCACACGACGATATGGAAACGTGAAGAAAGCCTCTTTCCGCGGATCCGCAGGAAAAGCAATCCAGTCCTCTTCGAAACTGTTCGTCTCTCAGAAACGTGGGAAAAGCGACACTTCGTTTCCTCTTCTTTTTCACGGTGCAACGGGCTGGAATCTCTCTGAATTGCGAAGAAGACACGCGGAGTAATGGGCCGCAAACAGCAGGGGGGGGAAAGCACGGTCGTTTGTACGGCGTCGTCTTTCAGTATAGCGATATCTCGCATTACGTGGTTTTTCCTTTTCTCCGTTTTTTTTTGGCAGAACGTTTTTTTTTTTTT